TTGGGGAGCATAATAAAAATAACTTGAGGTTAGAAAAGGGAATGTACAGCGGATGTAACAGGAGGAAACTGTATATGCTAGGGTGAAAATGTTGGGATCAAATTATGCAAATAAGTCAAACTGGGTTTGGGGATATATAAAGTAAGATGAAAGTTTTGATGAAAAATGCAAAAATATATATTTAGGTGATAAATAACGCTAACAATGTTGTGAAAAATTATAACAAGTAAAACAAAAACTTACGAAATTGACACGAACCGGTTTTCGAAATATTATCCTTTTTCAAGTGTCGAGGAATGGTTATGAGTTTGCAACAGTTTTAAAGTAGGTAGCTATTTAAATATATATTATGTGAGCACCGGTGCGATAAGCGAGCGTTAGGCGCCGGAAGTAGTAATGAGCTTTATGATATCCGGATTATATATCCTCAGATATCCCGATTATATATCATCAGATATACCGATTATATATCCTCAGATATACCAATTATATATCCTCATATATACCAATTATACCCCCACCCAAGAAGTCCTACACACCCCACATTCCTTCAACCCCCACCCCAAAAAAGAACCTATTCACCCTAAATTTCATCATTTTTTTTCAAATTTGAAATGCTTCAGACCAAAATGGATTTTTTGAAAACCAGGGTGCGGTCCCCTTTATATGTTTAATCAAGGAAATTATTTTGTTGAAAAAAGGAGTGGAGCTCTATTAATTATTCTATTAATCATTCTTTCCCCTACAAGAAATCATTGGAAAACTGAAAAAAGAATTTTAACAGTTCAAAATATCAAAGTTTGGAAATATTTTTTAAAATTGAATGTTTCTTAGATGATCGACTGAGTGTGCATGTTAAAACCTATCAAGTCAACAATACCGTATTTTCCTCCCTGGTCAAATTAGGTATAGAACTTTATTTCCTTTTATCTTGCCCAATTCTACAGAGATTGAAAGGTAATCGAAAATTCTGTAGAAAAAACAGAAGGATAAACTGTTGTTTTTTGTCAATACCTTTCATATAGCCAACTCCCCTTCTATGTCAATTCTCAGAGCAAAAAGTAATCGAAAGTCTCGGAGAAATTAACAAGGGTATACCACTAGAGAAGTTGATTAGATAAGATTATATGATAAATAAATCTATAGTGGTAGTATATTAATCAATCACACAGGGAAGTAAATACGCCATTGTTGACTATATAGGTCATAACACAAAACACTTGTAAATCATCGCAAAAACACAATTTAAAAAGACTCATCCTCTGTCCAACATATTTAACTATCAAAAAATTTAATCAGAATCCTTTAACCCTCATTAGATAGAATAATTAACGAAAAATAACAGACCATATTAAACACTCCTTTCCCCTACAAAATTATTTCCTTGAATGATTAACTTCCGGTTCGTTTTAAATAATGTTATTTTTAGTTTTAATCTAGAAACTTCTAGAAGGGAGATAACTCTTGTTTTGGAAAAAAAACAGACCACAATTTCTTCATTAAATTAATTCATTTAAAAATAGGATGAATTTAGTTCTAAAACACGAACAAAACAAATTCGAAGATTATTCGGGCGACGGTATCTTTTCATCAATATTTTCTCTAGGTAAAACAATAATTCCAGAAGTAGCTAGCTTTGTTTTAAACAACAAATCACTTATTTCACCCGAAGCGAAAGCTATAGGTTCTGTCGCGCAAGCTGGAAAGAGTATAGTCGACACAGTGAAACAATCTGACAAGTTGAGAGAATTACAGTTAATAAGAGAACTACGAAACAGGAGATTAGAAGAAAGGAAAGGAAAAGGCTTTAAAGTTATAGGATAAAAATGATAGTCGCTCACCCTCCAAAACCTATTTCGGTTCAGATATACAAAAATCATTAGGCTCTCTTCCTGGATTTCCATGGGCAAAATATCCTAAATCTTCCCGGTCATAATTACACTGGTCCAGGTACTAGGCTAGTTCTGCGATTAGACGAAAACGATAAACCAAAACCAGGTGAAGAACCAGTCAATAGAGTTGATGTCGCTGCGCTTAAACATGATATTTTATACAGAAAAAAAACCATAAAGTTTAGACATGAAGCAGACATACAAATGATAATCGAACTTGAAAATATTCCAAATCCAACTTTCAAAGAGAGAAAGCAAAGGGCTCTAATCATTAAACTCTTGGAAGCAAAGATGAAATTGGGTATGGGTTTAGCAGATGAAATTCATACAGAATTTAGAAAAACTAAAAACTTTTCAAAAGTTCATGTATTTGAAAAAGATGAAATATGGTCAGCCAATTTAATTAATATGCCAGTCGAAAGAGGATTTAAATATTGCTTAACAGTTATGGATTTGTATACAAGGTATGCTTGGGTTATTCCTTTGAAAAACAAAACAGGATTATCAGTCAAACACGCATTTGAAACGATTATGAAACAATCTGGTCGACAACCAGAAAAACTGTGGGTAGATAAAGGAAGTGAATTTTATAACAAAAATATGAAATCTCTGGTATTTGAAATTTACAGCACACATAATGAAGGTAAAGCTGTAGTTATTGAGAGATATAATAGAACTCTAAAAAATAAATTATTCAAAAAGTTCATGGAATTGAAATCTCAAAAATGGCTTAAAATATTACCAGAGGTTGTAGATGAATACAATAACAAAATTCATTCATCTATACACCAACGCAAGCCACAAATAATCCAAATATTATGAAGTCAATTAACGCACAACATAACTATGAAAATGAAATAAGTAATTTAAATATTAAACCAAAATTTAAAGTTGGAGATCACGTTTGTATTTTCAAATATAAAAGTAAATTCGAAAAAGGTTATGTTGGATACTGGACAAACGAAATATTCATCGTTGATAAAGTAAACACCTTATCACCTCAGACATATGAATTAATCGATCAAGACAAAGAACAATAGGTAGGTTATATCAAAACCGACTTTTAAAAATGAATAGCTTTCTCAATAAATATGGAACTGATACAACCACAAACTTTCAACTTTTGATATGGGCGAATGATTTAAATATATCACCGTTTTATTATTGTATGAGAGATGAAATCTTTTGGATTAGAACCAACTGAAGAGATAATGAATTTGACTAATCAACCAATCAAATGTTCAACATTTCAATTCAATTACCAGCTCAAAAGTTTTGTGGACAGCTTTCACTTTGGGTTTTATATCAATTAAGTTCAGGAAAACAATTTGAAGAAATTGTAATAAATCTAACTTAATAAAAATGGCGAACAAGTTTGGATTGGGTTCTTTATCTTTAGAAACTAAAAAACCTACAGTGTGGATAAATAAAGCGAAACCTTACTTTGTGGATCAAATCGGAGACACTCTTCAAGGTGATTTAGATATGAACATTAAGTAACTAATTTAAAATCTCCGGAAAACGATAATGACGCTGTTCACAAGAAATATTTACGGGATCAAATAAATTCAATTGAAGTAAATAAAAACCATTTAGAAGATAAAATAAGTAATGTGGAAAGATTCTTCAAACGTCAACTAAATAATAAAAATTTTGTTAATGATACTAAACTAGACCAAGAGGTAGAAGGTTTAATAAGTTTTATTCAAAAACAATTAGTAAACATAGTGAACAAAACTGAGTTACAAAATTTAATTTCATTAATATCTAAATTAGATGATAAGATTGCAAAACAAAAATTAGATATCCAACAATTGATAGATAACATTCCAGATAAAAATTAAGATAAGTTTCAACAGGAATAAAATGCTTTGGAAACTAAACTTTACAGTGACTTACAAAAAGAATTAACAAATATTAAACAACAAATACAAAACATAGATGATAGCGAAATCAAAACCTATATTCAACAACAAATACAAAATATTGATGATAGTGAAATTAAAACCTATATTCTACAACAAATACAAAATATTGATGATAGTGTTATTCAACAACAGATAACCACAATTAATAACGTAGTTTTGAAACAGGACAAAAATATAGCCGCATTAGAAAAGTATCTCGAGGAAGAAAATCATATTATTTCAATCTTCCATTTAGAGAATTGAGTGATAAAGATGACTCCATTACTGATAATATTGATTATTCAAAAGATTATGAATATAAAATATATGGATTTACAGCAAATATAAGAAAATTTTCTCCTCGAATATATTTACCCCCATGCCATGTTTCATGATAATCATTCGTTACTTTTTCCTTTCCGAGGAAAAATTGTAATTGAAATTATTTTTCCTATGCAGGTAAAAGTTGATTCAATATTCTTCAGACAAAACTCAGGAATTTCATCTAATCGTCAATTTAATGCTCGTAAAGTTCTTCAGTTTATCAATGGTACAGAAAATGTAGAAACTAAAGAATATGAAATTAACGAGGAAAACAGCAAGTTTAATCACTTTTATGAAATTAAAACGAGTGGAAAATATATAGATAGGTTTAGAATGTTAATCATACCAGATAAAGAAAATGATACTCTTGTGATAGGGTGTATTTTTAAAGAAACTTGGTTGTTTTATTTATTTGTTATCTTCTCTAAATACACCACTACTGTTTTTATAAACACCTAATTACATTACACTGGCCTTATACTATTAACTAATTATTGCCCTCTCTTAGTCTCTTTGACTCAACTGATCTCACAGGACCTTGTCACCTTCTGTCATTGGCCAACTGGGTGAGTTTTTAGTGAGTTTTATCACCTGTCCAGTCAGAAACTTTACTTTTACCTAAATCTTTAAAGAAGAAGGAAGTATATTTCAACCTCCTTGAAATACTGAATATCTTCTTCTTCTTTATTCTTTTTCATCACCAGTTATTGTCTTCTAATAACTTCACGTGGGTATCCCCAACCACATATGCAATATCATAATCATCCATCATAATATCCTCCTCTATATCCTCTTCTGATGCTGGTGGTGGTGTAGGGGTGGACGTATTACTTTCAGAGAAGAGGCAGTTTCAGAACTTTTGGATTCTTTTATAGCCATGGGAATTAAACCTAAAGCTGGTAGTAAAGAGGAATTAAATTCTTGGATCTTGGATTATGCAACACAGCAATCTAAGGGTACTGAAGAGTCAACTTTCAAGTTATCCTCAGCTACTGAATCCAAATCAGAGGATGTCAGGATTTTGCCACATTTACCTAGATTATCCATCTTTTCTGGAGATGATTCTCAGAAGTCACATGTCAGTTTAGACATCTGGAAGTTTGAGGTAGAGGAGTTAATGAGATCCAATCATAGAGATGATTCCATTAGACAGGCAATCTTTGGTTCACTTAAGGGACCTGCAGGCCGAGTTGCAATTCGTTTAGGACACTCTGTATCTATCTTTAGATTAGTGACCAAACTAGAAGGCATCTTTGGCAAGGTAGAGGAAACTCAGGATATATTAGCAGAGTTTTATGCATGTAAACAGAAAGAGAAAGAGTCTGTTGCTGAATGGAGTTGTAGACTTGAAGATCTTCTACAAAAGGCTTTAGATTCTGATGAGATTTCACCATGTCTAGCAATGATATGCTTAGAACACGTTTTATATTGGTCTCAGATCTGATCTGAAGTTGAGGTGTGCCCACAAGTACGATGCCACTCGCTGCTTCGAGGACTTGGTCATAGAAGTCAGAAGAGTGGAACACGAACTTGAGGTTAGTACATCATCAACCACCACTAGAAAGGATGCTCATGTTAAAGTTACTAATGTGAAAATGTAGAGAATGATGAATGTAGAGAATCACTTAGAGCTTTAACAACAGGATTGCAGAATTTAACAACTGAATTTTCTGGGTTTAAGAGTGATATCCTGAATAAATCTGCTTTAGCATTTGAACATCATGCAGCAGCACCTCCTAAGAAGGAATTTCCTCAGAGCTCATCATCGGAAGAACCAACATGCTTTAGATGTGGACAGAAAGGACATGTTAGGATAGGATGTAGGGTGAAATTAACTAATCCTTTAAACATGAAGACGTCTCTGTCGAAGGGCAGACAGTAGACGTAGAGAGACATAGCCCTTTAGAACTGGTAGGGAAGAGTAACACCTCTGTGATATATCTAAATAAGTTTAGATGTAGTTCTCTTCTAGATACAGGATCGCAGGTTTCAACTTTGTCTGAAACGTTTTATAAAGAGAATCTCCAAGACTCTAGTCCTTTGCAACCCCTTGAAGATCTGCTGGTTTTAACTGGCGCTGGTGGTCATACGTTACCATACAGTGGGTTTATTGTGACAGATTTGATGGTTCTACACTTAACATCATTGACACTATCTTGTATATTTTTGATAGTTGCTGATACTGATTACAATGTAGAGATTCCTGCTATTATTGGAACTAATGTAATTCAGCCATTAATGGATTTACTAAAGAAGAAGGATACAGGGATTAAGTCATCAAAGGTCAGCTCAGCTTGGAAAACAGCATTTAAATGTATGAGGATGCAACGGAGAAGAAATCAGGATACATGTCTTGGGTTAATTAAATGTGCTGAGAAAAATACTATTTTATTACATAGTAATAAGTCTACTGAAGTTTATGGTTATGTTGATAGTCATACTAAGGACATAAGTACTTGGGATGTCATGTGCTAACCTTCGGATAAGTCAAAGTTACCTGCATCTGTCGAAGTTTCACCAGTACTATTCAACTTTAATCCAGAACAACAGGATTTAGTCGAGATTAGGATTGTCAACTTATCACGTTATCCAGTTACAATACAACCTAGGTCAATTTTATGCGAATTTCATCCAGTTTCAGTTGTTACAAACCATTCTGTTATTGGACAGGAGGAGTCACAAGGTTTTAACATCTTGGATAAGATAGATTTCACAGGGACGTATTTGGACGAAAAGGATTTTGATGGGATGAGACAATTATTGCAGAAATGGTCATCAATATTTTCACACAGTGACATTGGTGTGGAATGTACTAATTTGGTCGAACATAAGATTCATCTTACTGACGCCAGATACCTCCTGGTATGTTTGAAGAAGTTAAGGCTCACTTACAGGAATTGTTGAAAGGAGACATTATTGAACCATCACATAGTCCGTGGTCATCTAATGTAGTTCTTTGTAGAAAGAAAGATAATAGCCTGAGGATGTGCGTTGATTATAGACAACTGAATAGGAGAACGGTTAATGATGCCTATGCCTTACCTAGAATTGAGGATATGTTAGACCATCTGTCAGGAAGTAAATTTTTCACCGTTTTAGATATGAAAAGTGGATATCATCAAGTTTCAGTGTATCCAGAAGATTGTCCAAAAACAGCCTTTACCGTTGGACCTTTAGGGTTCTACCAGTATCAGAAAATGCCGTTTGGTTTAACATCTACACCAGCGACATATCAGAGACTGATGGAAGAGTGTTTAGGAGACCTGCATTTTAATATCTGTTTAATTTACTTAGATGATGTCATTGTTTTTTCGTCAACATATGAGGAACACCTAGAGAGGCTTGATAAGGTTTTTCACAGATTCAAGGAATGCGGTCTTAAGTTAGCGCCTAAGAAATGTCGTTTCTTGTTGAGAGAAGCTAAGTATTTGGGACACATTGTATCAGCCGATGGTGTCAAGGCAGATCCTAGTAAGTTAGATAAGGTCAAGGATTGGAAGATACCAGAGAATCAGGAAGATCTAAGAAGGTTCTTAGGATTTGTTGGCTATTTTAGAAGGTTCATTCAGAATTTCTCTACTATAGCAAGGCCACTAAATGAACTTTTAGTTGGTGGACCAACTTTCAAGAAAGGGAGGAAGAAGAAGGAAGTAAATCCAGCATGGAAGTGGGATACTGAGCAGCATTTGATACTCTGAAAGACAAGTTACTTCAACCACCAGTACTTGCTTATGCTGATTCGTCAAAGCCTTACGTCCTACACACCGACGCTAGTGGAAGAGGTCTGGGAGCAGTTTTATACCAACACCAGGATGGTAAGGACATAATCATAGCTTATGCTAGCCGTGGACTAACTAAGTCTGAGAGAAATTATCCGACTCATAAACTAGAGTTCTTGGCTTTGAAGTGGGCTGTGACTGATAAGTTTCATCAGTATCTGTATGGAACATCTTTTACAGTTTATACTGATAACAACCCTTTGACCTACATTTTGACCACTGCAAGGTTAGATGCTACAGGACATCGTTGGTTAGCCCAATTGGAGCAGTACAACTTCAACATCAAGTACAGACCTGGAAAAACTGACATGACTCCCTGAAGACACCAATCAGGTTAGAGAGTTGTCAGCTGATACCATCAAGGCACTTCAAAACCTTAAGTTTGATGGAGGGTTTATTGAGTGTATGGCTATACAGGTTATTCCTGATCTGAATCTACCAGTTTCCATAGTTGATCAGATTTACTGGAGTAGATGTCAGCAGGATGACCATGTGATAGGACCCGTATACAGAGCTGTAGAATCTGGAGTGAAACCGTCCACTTCTACTGATTCCACATTGGTAAGAGAGTATTCAAATCTTACAATAAAGTCTGGCATATTATTTCGAAAGACAAGAGTGAATGATGAAGATACCTTACAACTAGTTATACCAGAGATACACAGGAAAACAATTCTCAAAGGTTTGCATGATGATGTTGGACATATGGACGTGATAGAACTTTATCTTTACTAAGAGTACGAGTGTACTGGCCAAAGATGTCTGCCCATGTCGAAGACTACATCAAGAGTTGCCAACGATGTTTGATGAGGAAGTCGCCAACGAATATTCGTGTACCCCTTGTTAGCATTAAATCCACCCAACCTATGCAAATTGTATGCTTAGATTATCTGTGTCTAGAGGAATGTAAGGGTAAGATTAGCAACATCTTGGTTATTACTGACCATTACACTAGATATGCTCAGGCATATGCCACTACCAACCAGACAGCAAAAACAACAGCGAAAGTGTTTTATAACAACTTTGTTGCACACTATGGTTTTCCGCAACGTATACATAGCGATAAAGAAGGTAGCTTTGAGAATAACATCATTGCCGAGCTTTGTGAACTGTCAGGAATAAAGAAATTTAGGACTACTCCATACCATCCCAGTGGTAATGGGATGTGTGAAAGGTTTAACAGGACATTGTTAGACATGCTAGGTACGTTGAAACCAGAAGAAAAGACCGACTGGAAGTCATATTTACCATCTCTTGTACATGCTTACAACTGTACACGTCATGACAGCACAGGTTTCTCCCCGTTTGAGTTGTTGTTCGGTAGAAAACCTCACTTGGCTGTAAACGTTATCCTGGGGATAGTTAACCCAGAGGAGAGAAGATCTTATGGACAGTATGTGAGTTATCTGAGAAAGAAGTTAGAAACATCGTATCACGCAGCTTCTTTAGAGATTGGTAAGTCCCAACAACAACAGAAGAAGAACTATGACCAGAAAGCTAAGTATTCTGTTTTAGAGAAAGGGGACCGGATTTTGGTAAAACGTTTGTTTTTCAAAGAGGGAAGGCATAAGATTGCGGACAGATGGGAAGAAGATGTGTACATCATCATCAACCAGCCAAACCCAGATGTTCCGGTTTATGAGGTAATTATGGAGAATGGTAAAGGTAATGTTAGGAAACTGCACCGTAACCATCTACTGCCTATAGGGTCTGTACCTATAGGTTTACCTGAGCCTACAACACCAGCTCCAGTGCCGAAACCTCGTCGCCGACGAACCCCTACACCACCACCAGCATCAGAAGAGGATATAGAGGAGGATATTATGATGGATGATTATGATATTGCATATGTGGTTGGGGATACCCTTTATGATCTCCCAGCTAGCCCCACTGAAGTTTTATCAGTAGATGATAGTTGTGAGTCCTGTCAGAATGAGGATCCTGTGGAGCCTGAGCTTCAAGATTCTGATAGTGACGAAACTGTAGAGGAAGCATCCCCAGTACCTCGTATATCTGCAAGAAGGAGACAACTACCATCCAGATATCAAGACTTTGTTATGCACCAAGCTGTTGATACTTCACCCAACGTTGGTCTTGGAAAAGTCTTTGAGTATTTACAATCAGAGGAGTTTTGTAGTTTGTCTGCTGATAATAGAAAGTTAGTTGCTGATGCGTTGAAGTTTAAATATGGTTTTTAAATTGTTGATTTATAAGTTTTATAGTAATGTCAGGAGACATTTTCCCCGTAGGGAGGGAGTATGTGATAGGGTGTATTTTTAAAGAAACTTGGTTGTTTTATTTATTTGTTATCTTCTCTAAATACACCACTACTGTTTTTATAAACACCTAATTACATTACACTGGCCTTATACTATTAACTAATTATTGCCCTCTCTTAGTCTCTGTAACTCAACTGATCTCACTGGACCTTGTCACCTTCTGTCATTGGCCAACTGGGTGAGTCCAGTCAGAAACTTTACTTTTACCTAAGTCTTTAAAGAAGAAGGAAGTATATTTCAACCTCCTTGAAATACTGAATATCTACTTCTTCTTTATTCTTTTTCATCACCAGTTATTGTCTTCTAATAACTTCACAGGTATGTGTGTTTTGGTATTTTATTGGGTAATTGTCTTTCTGGGAAAGTATATTTTGTATGAGAGGTGTATAAATGTAACCATGGTATTTTAAGCAACAGCAGCCATCTTGAATTTTTATGCTTTGGGATCCTTTGTGTTCAATATATTCATAGTCTGTTATTTAATTCCTAAGTGTTATAATTACCTTTTAATTATAATTACATTCACAGGTTTAGTTATAGACAGATATAGTTTTCCATATTTCAACAGCTTTATATAAAACCCCATCTTTGGGTTAGTTTTACTTTTATATATTTAATCTTATTTCATCTAGTCCCTGGCATAAGTTTCCCTCATTGCATATTAAGTTTAACATATATTACTGGTATAGAAGTGTAAATGGGTATTGTGCATTTACTGTGATAATATTTATGTGATAGATCATTATTAAGATATAGTATTTTCTTATTGTATTATATATCTAATTGTATCATATTATCATTACAGGGTTTTATTATTAAAGTTTAAAGATGAGAACATTGTTTTTTATATAACAACTGAGCTCGCTTCCCCCCTGAACTAGCCCAGCTACACTCTTTCATTGAGTGAATTTGATATGATATTGGAAACGGAAACTCCACCATCAATGAACATGAAGGCCCATTACTCCAACAAAGAGATGAAACAAAGAGTTATGAGTTTTTACGAACATCAGACTTTGAATACGTAAAACTATATTTTGTTTCTGAATTTTTTAGGCAAGATGAAAATAATTTATTTACCTCAATTGATATTCACAAAAGTGAACAAATTAAGAATTTATGTTATTTCCATCAATAATTGCAAGTGTTGGTGGTATATATACTTATAGATGTAAGATAAACATCAATATTGAAAAACCAAAATGTTCAGTTCATCTAAATAAGATTAATGATTCAAAAGAACAAATATCATTAGTAACTGTAAAAGTTTTGTTTTCTGATCCTGCTATTTTAACAATCAGAAAAATAAATATGTATGAAAAATATTGGACTATTATGGAGAACACCCCATCTTTCACATTAACAAAAGTTCACTTAATTTAATTACCTTAAAAATGGAAAACAGTAGACAACAATACATGATAGAAAAACAAAATTAACTAAAAGAAAAACTAAAACACTTCAACAAATGCAGGAAAACATGGAGTAGGATTGATTCTGTTTTCAAAACATTAAGCACAGTTCTAACAGTAGGGATAACGGTGGCAACAGCCATTACTGTTGGATTAATGCTTCCAATGCTTTTAAATACTTATCTTAATAAATTATTTATATTTTTTTGAAGGATCAAGAGAAGATAAGAACATAACCATTGAAGAATTAGAAGAATTCAATGAAATTTTAGATAAATTTGATGTAGAAATATCATCTGTAAAAGTTAAAAATTCCTAGTTAAAAATAGATACTTAAAAAAGAAAATGGATAACATCGAAATTTCAGACGATAAAACATTCATAGAAAACATATTCTCCAATGTTATTAAGACTATTCTTAATAAATTTTTAACATTTAAAGGATAAATTGAATTAGATGGAGAGATAATTCAAAAAGGAAAACACAGACAATATATGAATCTTCTTGGTTTCAACCCCAAAACTTTTCAGAAAATCTTTTCTAATATGGATTTACAATCTGACACTTCTGAATGGTATTTCACAGGAAATATCCTTTTACATAAAGACAATTTTAAAGAAATAAAAAGATCTGAAACTGGGAGAGGAACTGAACTACTTAAAAACATAAATGAATATATAGGAGAAAATTGTAATATACCAACAGATGGTAAGTGTTTTATAAAATGTGTAAATCACATTATGAATAAAAACTTAACAAAAGAATTTCAAGATTTCGTCAACAGTTTTAAAAAAACTAATAGAAAAGGAGTAATGACAGTTGGAAGAATTAAGCTATTCAACGTTCGATTTGATACAAATGTTCAAATCTATAACCCTAAAGACAGTCATTTTCATCCAAGATATGTAAACATAGACTAAGATTGGGTTTTTTACTTACACAAAGAACATTTCTGTTTGATAAGAAGAAATAACAAAGCTTTAGGTATTAAAGAAATAGAAGAGAAATATGACTAATATAGTAGAAATATATGTAGGTACAGATTGTATTGATCAAATGTTGAAATATTTCGGTAAATATGATAGAAAGAGATTAGCATTGATTTCTCATAACGGTAGCGGTTTTGATAACTGGATCATCATTAAAAACGTAAAAAAACTAACACAATGTCCACTAGTATCAGCTAAACGCATTCTATCTCTACCTTTAACTAATTCATTCACCGATGAAGATTTACAAAAAAGTTGGAAAAGACAAAAAATAAAATAACTGGCAACTCTAATTATCTACAAAATATTAATTTCATATGTTCCTATCAACATGAAAAATCTAGTTTAGAGGCATAGGGGAATTCATCTAATCTACCAATGAATTTGAGAAAGATCACTGATATCAAAATTACTAAATACACCAAGGACAACTGGGAATCTTTAAGACATGAATGGGAGCCATATGGGAAAAGAGATACTCTCTGTCTTGGAGCTTGTTTGATAAAATACAACAAGGTTATGAAAGAGACTGTATTCCAGAATGTTTCTAATAATCTAACAGTTCCTTCTTTATCATTAAAGGGTTAGTATTTTTTATATCATTACAATAAAGAAATGGTTGAAGAACCATATTATGAAAGGACAATACTCGTTCCAAAACACACTGAAAAAGAAAACATTGAAAAGGTTTATTCACACACTCATCCTTTTATCAGATATTTTATTAGACAATCTATTAAAGGAGGATGAGTTTCAGCTAATAGGAAATCATTTGAAACAGACAGAATGGATGAGATTTGTAATATATTAAAGGAATACACAGAACTCGACAGTAGTAATATAATTGATTTATTCAAAGAATACAACACATGTACAAAAGATAAAACAGAAGTTCACACTAAACTCAAAGAGCTGGACTATTCTAAACTAATGGCCTTTGATGCTAATGGGTTGTATGCCTCTGCTATGTCAGATTTAGACAGTGAATATCCTAAAGCTGAAAGTGGAAGACCTTTTCTACCAGAAGAAAATGAAGAATTTGTTAAGCTCTTTAATGAACAGAAATTGAGACCTAGAACGGCTATTTTTAAAGTCTGGTTTAAATATCCTACCAACATGTTCTTCCAACCCATTCCATCTAAAGATAAAATTACTTTTACAAATAGAGAAGGAAAAAAGGAAACTGGCACTAAAAACAGATTTAGAAATGGTTTCTGTTATGATGTTTTAACATCGATTGATATTAAAGAAATAGTTAAGGCTGGTGGTAAAATACTCAAGATGGTATAGTGTATGAAGAAAATTTTAAAACTCCTCCATATAGAGAATACATTTTAATTTTGAAGGAATTAAGGAATAAATATAAAGAAGAAGGAAATATTGTGGGTAGTAACTGCATGAAATTATTAGGTAATTCATTGTATGGTAAATCTATTCAGAAGGATATAACTACATTGAGACATCTATGGAGTGAAGCAACTTTTAAAGCCAACTTCGATTCACATGTTAAAAACTATGAAAAAGTAAATGAGACTCAATCTATAGTTGAAATAGAAGAAGAAGAAAAATAATTTATTCCTCCAAAGGATTCTACAAGATTAACACCTAGTCATATAGGATCATTCGTTTTATCTCACAGTAAAAAAATAATGAATAATTTAATTCATGTAATAGATGGATTTTATAAGCCAGAAATATACTATACAGATACTGATAGTTAATACATTTCTTCTAAAAATTGGGATAAATTAAATAAAGCTGGGTTGGTATCAGAAACTGATTATTGTAAAGGAAAAAATGATTATGGTGATGGTGGAATTATATATGGTTTTTTTTTAGCACCTAAAGTTAAATATAACATCATTTTAACTTCTGATGATGTAGATAAACAAAAGAAAGTTTTTAGAAGTTATTTAAATCTCGTTAAGAGAAAAGCACCAGATGATGAAGGAATTATGTATTCATTCTAATCTATTAAGTAGTTCCTCGTTGTTGTCGGATAAAAACGTTATACCTTGTCCAGATGCCACCATATTATCCAATTCGTCTATTTCTTGTATGATTGGATTGTTGTCTTCAGCATAATCACCCACTTCGTCAACTTCGTATTCATCATCATGTTCAATTACTCATATATAGTTTAACTTCTTTCGATCTTCTTGTTTCAGGTCCCGACTTTCTTATTGCATCTAGAAATTTTGAGTATTCTGATAATCGGCAATACCAACATCCTCCCATTCATTAAATCTATTAATCCTTTTGTTAATGTTAATATAAAGCCTTTTGTATCGATTTTGAATATTGAAGAATTTGACTTAAATTTAATTCTAAATCCATTAAAAAATAACCCCTCATCATCAATGATTGGTGTAACACTCTTTGGTAAATCTGCTTTAGGGTTTGAAAAAAGACTATTAATATCATCTAATGTCCTAATTATAATACCACCATATTGATTCAGTTCTGGGTGATCTTTATGAGGTTCTATAGGAGGTCTATATTCTAAAGCTAATTTCTTTTAATATCCTCTTGAGTTTTTAATATTGGTTGAAATAAAGTTTGTAGATTTTCTGTTAATCCAAGTTGTTATAATTTATTATTTTCAACTGGGGTCTTTATTTTATTCTTAGCTTTGATATATTCTTTATTTCTTTTTGAAATATTATTCCAATCGTTACTCATTGTTAAAAAAATAAAATTAACATATGTCGATCATAACTCTTTCTCCCGCAGGTTTTCTAGTATTAACAAATACATATCCATGATCATCTGGGTTTCTACAGTCAGCTTTACAAATTTTTTTGAATGTATCTCTGTCCATTCCATGATTTATAGACTGAATGATTTGAGATAAATCTTTGTCGTTTAATTCGAATAATAAAAAACAATTTGCATTATTTCTAATAAACATAGAATCCATTCCGTAAAAAGATTGAGATTGGTATATGCAGTGACAGTTGTGATGTCTTCCTTTCGTGAAGAATTCTTGTTGAACAGCTTGATTTCTTTGTGCTATCAATATTAGACAGGTCTAGATCATTAACATTTTTCGTAAGAAAAACTTTAATGTCCGTTGGATAGAAAGAGGGATTCTTTGCTTTAATGTAGTTATCTATTATATCTTTTATTTCCACTTCTTCTTCTTCGTTTTCTTCGTAATATTGAAATATGTCTTGAACATCTTTTTTTGGTAAATATTCTAAATCTTTGAGAAATTGATAATATGATTGCTCTGGTGTTGTTGTGTAGATATAGAGAGAATTGAAATCTACAAGGATTGGTGTTGTCAACATCTTAAAAGTGAGATGTGTTTTCCCAGAACCGGAACTTCCACAAATACACAAAAGCATTGGGTTACTAGGAAATATTTCTGAATGTTTGAATTTCTTCCCCATTTTTTATACTATATTTTTGTTCCAAAAATCACTCCTTCTCCTTTATACTTTGAAAGAAATAATCCTTCTCCTGTGTGAATGTTTTTTAAAAATATTCCATTACCCTTATGTTTGGCTTTGACTTCTCCTGTGTCAATACTATCTACTAATTTATTTAATCTTTGTTTAACAGTTTTCTTGGTTTCTTCCCACTCCCTAACCTTTCTTTTTACTGTTTTCATCCTCTGCTGCCAACTTTTCCAGTGCTAAATTGTGTCTATGTTCTTCGGCAGCTTTTACTGCAGCTGCTTTATCATCGTTGGCGGCGCTTACTGCGGCAGCTGTACCACCAGTTACTGCACCCGCCGCAACAAGTCCACCAAATATCAAGGAGAGGTAAAAATCAACAATCCTTTGCGTTAGCATCAATTCTTTCTAAGTCTATATCGTCTCTGACTTTACAATATTTGTATTTATCAATAAGTTTTTTAGTTATGCTGATTTTTTTTACCATTGAAAGTTATTACAGTTGGGGAAGCTGTTTCAATAGCTTCTATTATTTTCTAGACTAAAGTTTCTGGTTTCATTTTCAAGGGTGTATTTTTAACTCAATTCTTATCATTCTTCTATCTGCTATTTTAATTAAATGTTTTGCTTCTTCGAGTAGTAAACAATAACCGGTTACATCTCCTTGTGTTTTTTCAATATGAATATTTATGTTGACTCCTGTTTTGAAAAGATCTTCTTGATGAGCTGATAGATCAAAACAGAAGATTGGATGATGAAGTGCAAAATCTACATATTCAAACTGAGGTAGATTTCCAAATAATTCACACATATTTTTATAGTTTCTATACAATTCATTATAATCCTTTGTGGTTGGATTTATTGTTAAAGGTTGGTTAGGATAATTATCGTTGTTTAATCTTACTTGAACTTTATGGATTATAGGATCTTGAGTTTGGTTCATTTCTACTCTAAAGATATTATTGTTATTCGTCTGTAAGTCTGGTAAGTTCTTGAAACCAACAATTAAATATCTTGCTGGTTTAATAGTGTTAGTGATTGGCCACGTGGTGGATTCTCCAGTTAAAGTCATGCTACCTTTTGTGTTACAACAAAGAAAAGCTATTTCAATATCTTTAGGTAATGAGTTGAATATTCTCGTTTTTACTTGAATAGATGGTGTTATTACGGGTATGAAAAGTTGGAGATTCATTTTTTCTAATTTTGCATCTGAAGCATTCTCTCCAAAGAATATCTTATCATCGTTGATTTCTCTTTGTAGATTAATTTTATATGGTAACCCTATGGAAACTTTTGTGTGTTCAAACAGACCGAATAAAGGATATAATTTCCAATTTACGTAATTACCCCACCTATTATTCTCAACAACATTGTTATACTGAAGTACTCGTTTTTCGAATCCATGATTAGCTGCTCGTCCTACTCTTTCTATTGTGTTTCGAGTAATAACTCTCATTCTAGCTTCATCCGCATCGTTTGGAACATTTCTTACCGGTTCTTTTAAAACACTTCCATCACCAACATCGGGTATCCAGCCTGAAACTGAATCGAAGTCTTTAGGATATAAAACTAGTTTTCAACATTGTATCGAATTCCCCAGGGTGTTTCTATCGGATTTGAGCCAGCCTCCAAAACCATCTCGCTAAATAAAGATGGAAAGAAATTGTTTTCTAACGTTGTATCAGTTTGTGGTACACGATTTTCATTGGGAGTTCCATCTTTAATTTTGAAATCACATCTGAAATAAGCATCGGAAAGAAGTAACCAATTTGATAATGAATTTATTTCGAAGGTAATTCTACCACCATCATTCAATTGGGATTTAGAACCAACAGTTGTTGAGATGATAATAAAATCCTCTTTTTTCTTGTTAAATGAGTAACGAATTGGATCGTATAATTTAAAGATTGGATCCAGTATTTTATATGCCATTTATAAGGTTTAAAATTTGAGTAGAAAATGAGGTTTGTTTTATTATATGAAAAATGTAGGGTGAATAGGTTCTTTTTTGGGTGGGGGTTGATGGAATGTGGGGTGTGTAGGACTTCTTGGGTGGGGGTATAATTGGTTTATATGAGGATATATAATCGGTATATCTGAGGATATATAATCGGGATATCTGAGGATATCAGAGGTGCGATAAGCGTGCGTCGCTAAATGATGCAAGAGGGTAACAGTTGGAAATGCCGTAGGCGCCGGAAGCATGAAGGGGGTGGGGTTTGCAACAGTTTTGTTTTAAATACATAAGTTCCATTTGTGACATTTCTTAGGGTTAGGTTGAGGGCTTGCAACTGTTGTAAAAGTAGGTGGCTATTTAAATGTATATTATGTGAGCACTGTAGGTGCGATAATAATTTACAAAGTTTTCTAAAATAGCGTCTAATAGCTAGCTATTCTCAAATATAGAAAAGTGTGGACTTACAATAATTTTAAACATTTTCTAAAATAGCTCTTTTTCATCTGAGTTAAGCAGATTTTTTTCTAAAATAGCAATAGATTCAAAGAACAAAAAAATTAAAATAGCTAGGTCAACTCAGATCCTGCACCTTCCTCCATTGCCATTTGAGTTGACTCGAAATGGTTAGTTGTTTTGGAGGTGTTTTATTTGTTTAGTGCTCTTGAATTCATTTCCATTATTCTCTCAACTTAAGACTTAGATCTTGAGATGAATACATCCCTCTTATAAGTTTGCCTTTGTTAGATAACACCATGTTTCGTTGTTGATTATTTTCAAAACCCACTTTGATTAGTCTTGGTTTGTGAGTTCTTTTGATTTGATTACGTTGTAAATCTTCTCTTCTAGCATTTCATTTAATCTGTATACCACAATTGCTTGATTGTCACTGTCCAAAGAAAAGTTTGATCGCACTTCACTGTTTTCTATATCAGATATATGTTGCTTTAATCTGTTAAGTCACTCACCACTTTATGTATTCTTTATTGGATAACTTTCATATTTTCAGGGTTGGACAACGACATCTTGAATCTTGAAGTATATCTATGAGAATTTTGAAAGAGATCAGTTTACCACCAACTGAAATTCTAACTGTCGAACTTTCAACACCCGATATAATACCATCATTGAATTAAAAATAGCGATGGCCATTGTGCTATGCCCACAATTGTAATGGTAGCCAAGTTGTCCATGATGTTTACAAGTTTTTTTACAAGTTAAAATTTGAAGGTGTTTTCAAAAACAAGGGCAATAACTCATATATTTTTCAATTTTTTTTAAAATTTCATTTAGATTTCGGGGAAGGGAGGGTTTGATTCTCCCAAATGTACAGGCCTAGGGTGGAGAAGACACTTTATTTAGAAATTAGGATTAAGGGTCTTGATATTGGGTTTTCTTCTGTTCTTATTCTGATCTGAAATTAGAAAAAATAACTCGCCCAATGGGCGAGAAGTATAGTATCTGTTATGTACTGATTGTTTTTAGTTTACTATGAACAATATTATCATTTAAGTTCTTATTTTTTGAATATGCAACTATCATTTTCTGCTTATAGACATGGGGGAATTTCTCTTGAAGGCTCTTATAGTGGGCATGAACTATCTTGCTTGCTCGATTGCTGGTTGTATTAAACGGGACAACAAAGGGTGCTATGCCTACATTATGATGAATATTTAGTCCTATAGGTCTTGCTGTATTCAATGTCTCAATCCAATGGGCCTCCCTAGATTGACGGAATTTGGTAGTTTCATCTTCGGGCAAGTCAATTTCTATACGCTCAATTGGGATTAGGGTGAGATCGTCTATTGAATGGTCGTCGAGGTTGAAATGATTAGAAACAGGCTTGTCTTTCTTTAATTTGATGTCTGACCTATGAGCATTAAAGCGAGTTCGTAAATTATTCTTAGTTTCTCCTACATATTGTTTGGGGCATTTCTTGCATGAAATTAAATATATTACATTCGAATGTTCACATGTGAGATGTTCCTGGATCGGGTACCTTTTATTCGTAGAGTTGCTTACAAAATAATGACTTTCTGATATAAAGGGACATGTTTTGCATCTACTGGACAAACATGGAGCACTTCTTAAACCTGGAGGTACTTCTGCATAAAGTCTGTTTTTAGCTGCTATCTGTGCTAAGGTGGAATTTTTTATGTTTCGTAAAAATCTTTTAGACTACCCACGCTCTTTCAGTTTTGAGAAAACAATCGTACAAGCTTGGTTGAAATCAGAAGATCTTGTACAAATTCGATGAAATCGTAAAACTTGTTACTTAATTATACCAGAAAAGGTATGTTTTAGGTGAAAGGAGCTCTTGTGCAAGAGTTGATAAGTATCAGTTTTTTTTAAATAGACTTTAATATCCAGTTTATTTGTTTCTGCTATGGAATCTCCCTTAAAGACTGTGGTATCGAGAAGTCTATGCTTTTGTCACTCACGTTTGCGGTTAGTTTGATAGAAGGATGGTGGTTGTTGAGAATTTCAAAGAATTCCAAAACTGTTCGATAGAATAAGTCCAAACCATAAAAATGTCATCCAAAAAGCTTCCGTAAAAAAGTGGGTCAAATGGACAGAGGGGCAACATCTCACGTTCCCACTCTGCCATGAAAAGGTTTGCGTACGAAGGGGCGAATCGTTTGCCCATTGCTGTCCCTGAAGTTTGTAAATATGTTTTGCCATTAAATGTGAAATCGTTTCGACTAAGACAAATCTCTAGAAGCTGTAAAATTGCATCGTCGGGTCTGTTTGGATCTGGGTTTCTATTAAAAGCTTTACGAACTGCCGTTAAACCAGTAGTGTTATCGATATTGGTATACATAGAAGAAACGTCGATAGAAATTAAAATAGCATTAGAGGGAACTCGAAGATTTTTTATTTTATTGACAAAATCGGTTGTGTCTTTAAGGTAGGCGCGATGTTGGCATGCTAGAGGTAGTAAGAAATGATCAATGTATTCTGACACTGCATATGACTCACTACCACAGTCAGATATAATCGGGCGGCCTTTAGGGATTTTATTCGAGATAAACCA